AGGGTTCAGGGTATCTCCTAGTCGAGCAGTCTCGACTTGAGTCTTCTTACTTGTTTTAAATATCACATGCCTTGATCATGGATGCCGCATTATCCGTGACAATCATTTGCACTTTGTCAAATATCAGTCTTAATGTTGTGGCAATATTATCATTATTGTGATTCGTTTGGTCCACAAGCGGTTGCGTCGACAGTACAGCAGATTTGAGCTTAAAATTGTTAATGAAGTGACATGTTACCGTAATATAGCTCACATTGGCTCGTGATGTCCGTGATCCGTAGTCAATGAGCAAAAATCAATATTATTTATTAATGATCTCAGTTTTCGCAACGAATCCTGGTACATGTTCTTCAACAGCACGTTTTTCAAGTATGGACGGCTTGGCAAAATATATTTCTCATCAAGTGTTTTTATTAAATTTTTAAAACCCTCATTTTCGACTATTGAAAAAGGCTGCAAATCAAGTACCACCATGCGAGCAAGGGACTTGTCAATTTGCGCCTTCCTGGTCGACGTAGAACTATAGCACTCGCTACGAAGAAAAAATGATTTTAAGTTGGTTGTACTTTTGGTCTTTTCAGTATTTTGCTCAAATGGGTGGACTCGTCTTAAGTGCTCCATCAAATTAGATGTGTTCCCACTTGTGCGGTATTCTTTGCCGCAATGTCGACATCTGGCAAAGACTTTGTTAATTAAGCGGTCAAAATGGGACTAAACTTCCGAAACGCATTTTTTTCGTTTGCGATCGATGGGAGCAGCGGCGTTAGGTGGACTTGAAGTTGTTGAAGTCGTAGGGGCAACAACATCTTTTTCTAAGACATTACAGAATACATTGAAATCAGACTACAAATGATTTTGCATATAACACTCGACGTAGCGACAAATTTGTCCATATTAAATGAGGAACTGCCAGTTGGGAGGAAATAGATTGATTTGGTTCGCTACAATGTTGAATTGCAATAGTTATTTTGTAAATCTGAAAACAAATAAAATAAGAAGACAAGATTTCTGACTACACGTGCAAACTCTCCACTTAAATTAAATTGTCGATATATTGACCATCGAGAAATTTCCATTGATGTATCGAAAAAATAAATTTCCATCGATTATATCGATTGTTCCATTGATGGTGCTCCAGCTCTAGTATAAATGTATGTGTATACCGAAGCTCAAGTCTCTAGTATTGATATACGACTTTTACAAAGATGATGGTGAGGAGGTGGATATAGGGGCGGGGGGGTGAATTAACAAAAACCGAAAATGTATAAAATACTCTAGCTATAATGATGTATGAGATATAATTTTTTAAGTGATCTTCGATAAGGTTTTTTATCGATAAA